GGGGGCGGGGCTCGCAGGGGGCGGGGCTCGCAGGGGCGGCCGCCACTGACCCCGCCCCCACGGCAGATGGAGGAGGTCCTGCAGCTGGGGGACGAGGTTCCGGAGGCGGCACTGGACAGCATCCTCGAGGCCCAGCGGCCCACCCAGTGCTGCGTCCTGGTCTACACGTCGGGCACCACGGGCAGCCCCAAGGGCGTGATGCTGAGCCAGGACAACGTAGGACGGGCGCGGCGGGCCGCGGGCACCCTCCCTAGGGGCTGGGACAGGCGGCTGCCGGCCCTCGCCCTGCCTGGGCCCGCGGGCAGCTGAGCACCGGCCGGAGACACCGGGGCGGGCGGGGCTGCGGCAGACACCGAGAGGTCTGCCCGCCCACAGATCACCTGGACAGCGCGGTACAGCAGCCAGGCCGGCGACATTCAGCCAGCAGAAGTCCAGCAGGAGGTAGTGGTCAGCTACCTGCCCCTCAGCCACATCGCTGCCCAGATCTACGACATATGGACGGGCATCCAGTGGGGCGCCCTGGTGTGCTTTGCTGAGCCGGACGCCCTGAAGGTTCGCTGCCTGGGCTGGGGGTGCCCAGCCGCGGGCAAGCTGCGTTTGCACCCAGTGTGTGCAGCGGCTGTGGGGGAGTGCGTGTGGACTGCCCGAGGGCCAACGGCCTGACCGCCTTCCTGGCGGTGTACAGGGGAGCCTGGTGAACACCCTCCGGGAGGTGGAGCCCACGTCCCACATGGGGGTTCCTCGGGTGTGGGAGAAGATCATGGAGCGGATCCTGGAAGGGGCGGCCCAGGCTGGCTTCCTCCGGCGCAAGATGCTGCTGTGGGCCATGTCGGTCACCTTGGAGCAGAACCTGAACTGCCCGGGAAGGTGAGGAGGCCGATAGAGGCCTGGGGACAAGGGCTTGGCCTGGCCACCACAGAAGTGTGGGGCCAGGCCGGGCGGGTAGCGCTGCAGCGCTGTGCAGAGGCCTGTCCGTGGCCACCCATGGGCACCGCCAGCCACGGTCAAGCTCTGTCCAGCTCAGACTTCTCCCGTGAGGGGCACTCCCCTCCCCAGGAAGGCTCCTGCCGGGTCTCCAAAGCCTGGTTTGGGCCTTTCCAGACGCTCACACCCCAGTGACCACGGGGTGCTCCATGCCGATTCCCCCAGTGACCACAGGGTGCTCCGTGCCGGTTCCCCAGGCTGGCCCCCCCTGGTCCAGCTTGGAAACTTTTTGTTACCGTGTCTGAAGCCGCCTGGTGCCTCAGAAGCGCCAGCACCTGAGCGCAACCTCTGCGGCTGTCCGGCCCCAAGGGCCACCCGTGGGCAGGGAGTGGGAGTGGGGGGCACCGGCTGCAGCTGCAGGGGGCGCTGCGCCTGCGCCCACACGTGGGCGGGCTGGTCCTGCGCGCCACCCACGCCTGCCACTTCCCGCCAGCGACCTGAAGCCCTTCACAGCCAGGCTGGCAGACTACCTGGTGCTGGCCAAGGTGCGCCAGGCGCTGGGCTTCGCCAGGTGCCAGAAAAGCTTCTACGGCGCAGCGCCCATGGCCGCCGAGACGCAGCGCTTCTTCCTGGGCCTCGATATCCGCCTGTACTCCGGCTACGGGCTCAGTGAGACCTCGGGCCCCCACTTCATGTCCAGCCCCTACAACTACCGGCTCCACAGGTGCGCAGACCCGCAGAGCCTGGGCGCCCCTTTCCCCGCGGCCAGCCCAGGTCAAGGTCACAGCTGGGCCTGCCCCTGCGCAGGTCCCGCGCACCAGGGACCCCTCCCGCAGAAGGATGGGGAGCCCAGGCGCCGGTGCTGGGAGGGGCGCGGTGGGCGGCCAGGCCCGAGGCCTGCTGCAGCGGCCCTTCACTACCCTCCCCCCTGGGGTCTGCCGGGCCTGCTGGCCACGGGCGGCCCGAGTGCGCCCCTGACCGCCGCTCCCCCAGCGCTGGCAGGGTGGTGCCCGGCTGCCGCGTGAAGCTGGTCAACGAGGACGCAGACGGCGTGGGGGAGATCTGCCTGTGGGGCCGCACGGTCTTCATGGGCTACCTGAACATGGAGGACAAGACGCGCGAGGCCATCGACGCAGACGGATGGCTGCACACGGGTGACACTGGCCGCTTGGACGCCGATGGCTTCCTCTACATCACGGGGCGGCTCAAGGGTGAGGGACCCTGCCCCGGGCCCAGGCCTGTGCCCCGCCCCACAGCCCGGCCCTCAACGGACCCCATCGAGGCCCCGCCCCCGAGGCCCCAGTGGTCCTCGGCCTGGTCCCCGCAGCGGGGAGCCTCTGAGCCCCTGGCCACCCCCGCCGCCTCCCACCCTCCCTGGCTCGGCCGGCGCCTGGACTAACCTGGGCCCGGCCCCTCCAGAGCTCATCATCACCGCGGGCGGGGAGAACGTGCCCCCCGTGCCCATCGAGGAGGCTGTGAAGTCCGAGCTGCCGGTCGTCAGCAACGCCATGCTCATCGGCGACCAGAGGAAGTTCCTGTCCATGCTGCTCACCTTGAAGGTGGGCCGGGCCTGCGCGCGGGCGGCCAGGGGTCTGCCCGCCAAGGCTTTACGCCGGGCCCCCTGGGCTGCTGCTCACGGTCTGGGGGTCCCCTCTGCCTCGGTGCACCATGGTCACCTGCCGTGATGATGGACGCCCGGCTTCCAAGAGTCCAGCTAGCCAGTGCCGGCCCCTCCCCACCCGCCTCAGCATGGCAGGGGGTCCTTAGCGGAGGCTGACACCCTGGGGCTGGGCGGGCCGGGCCCCCCATCAGAGGTCGCCCTGGGCCTGGGAGGCCAGGGAGGTGGGCAGCGGGACGGGGCTCAGCGCTCAGACCCCGCCCTCCCCACCGGGCGCCCCTCGAGGCCCTGACCTGCCTCTGCTTCTAGTGCGCCCTGGACCCGGACACCTCGGAGCCCACAGATAACCTCACGGAACAAGCCGTGGCCTTCTGCCAGGGGCTGGGCAGCAAGGCCACCACAGTGTCCGAGATCGTGGGCCGCAAGGACGAGGCCGTGTACCGGGCCATTGAGGAGGGCATCCAGAGGGTCAACATGAAGGCCGCCGCCCGGCCCTACCACATCCAGAAGTGGGCCATCCTAGACAGGGACTTCTCCATCTCCGGGGGCGAGTTGGGTAAGTTCCTGCCCTCCCCCGGGGGGCCAGAGGGCAGAGGCGGGGTCCTGTGGGCCATCGGGAATGGCCAGCAGCTCCCGCCCGGGGCAAGGCCGTCCTTGGGGACCGCGCTGGCCCAGGGACCAGACGCCCACTAGCACCTGAGACGCTGCAGGGACCCTCAGCCAGTTTCCTTCTGAAGCCGCGAGGGTCCCGGGCCGAGCTCGGGGTGAGGCCTCTGCGCAGAGGTGGGTTCACACGCAGGAGAGGGGGGCCCGGGGCAGGAGGCGAGGGCGGGGCTTCTCCCACTCGCCTGCTGAGGCAGCGGCGCCGGCCCCGGGCGCCCAGCGCGGGGTGCTCCAAGTGGCCGAGCGCAGTGTCTGTGGGTCATGAGTCCCAGGAGCGCGGCCAGCGGCCAGCGGGCTGCTCTGGGGAGCCAGGCCCCGCGTCCGCCTCCGCGTCCCAGCAGCCTGGGCCCCCAATCCGTTTTTCTGTTTTAGATTTATAGACACAAGAGCTGGGGTGCAGCCAGAGGGGCGGGTGAGAGGACACCTGAGACAGTGGGAGCAGGGCAGGCGGGTCCCCTGAAACCACCCGGTGAGGGCGCAGCGGGACAGGAGGGTCCCCGCTGCTGGTGACCGCCCAGGAGTGATCCCGCCGTTCAGGACAGATGGGCTGTCCTCAGGGCGCCCTGCGTGCAACACTAGGTCCCCGGGCTGCTGGCCAGTGGGTGGGGGCCGAGCCGGCCACCTGGTCCGGCCTGACGTGCCGGGTCCCCGCAGGCCCCACCATGAAGCTGAAGCGGCCGGCCGTGCTGGACAAGTACCGAGACCTCGTGGACGCCTTCTACCGTGAGCACAAGCCGTAGTGCGGCCAGGCCTCGGCTGCTCCCGCCCCTCGTCCAGCCGCCCTGTGGCCCGACTTTAAGGGCCAGTTCAGGCTGCCCCAGGGCGGCAGGGCCGGGGCTGGCACACACCTGGCAGGGACCCACCTGTCCCCCTAACGCCCACTGCCCCCCATTAAACTTCCTAACCACCGCCACCGTCCCGGCGTTTCTGTGTCGAGCGCTGTGTCCCCACGCGGGCCCAGCGACAGGGCGCGCCAGGCCCTCCCGCCGCCCTGAGAACAGGCGAGGAGACAGGTGGTCGGCCGAGACCTTTACTAGCGTGGCCAGGACATGTCAGCGGCGCTGGCAGCCGGTGAGAAGCAGCGGCCTCAGTGCAGCGGGGCAGCCGGCCCGGC